ATATGCAAAAGACTGAAACAAGACCTTCACCTCACACCTTATACAAAAACCAAGTCAACATGGATTAAAGACCTAAATGTGAATCCCAGAATAATGAAGGCCATCAATGAAACAATGGAGACAAATGTGAGGGCACTAGTTCTGGGAATACACAGACTACAGAAATAATTGTTGTTAGATAAAGAAAAAGAGAGAGACAGGCATCAGCCTTCTCACATGCAACATTATTTTGCTTTTTGTTTTTCAATTCCTTGAGAGAAAAGAACTGTTATTGAAGAAATCTATACCAATCAAGAGTAAAAGGAAGTTATATGGAGATATATAATCACTCAAAAATTTTCTACCCAATTATCCCATCTAGGAAAAATAGTAAACAAAAGAAAACATTTTAACACATAAAAGTAATTCTAAATGAGTATTAGTAAAGCAATTAGATAGAGACATATAACAAATGAAAACTTAATTTATTAGAATAAAATTAAGGAACAACAAAACCAAGAATATTAAAATCAGTCTAGAGTACAAGGAAACTGTAAGCAGTTATTACAGATTTTGTTGTTCGTTTGTTTTTTACCTGGTTTGCAAGATGAAAGTGACCAAACAGCTTGTGACCCAATTTCCCGCACTGTTCCAGTCCTTTCCAACTGCTTCGGGTCAGCTCCAGGAGGTGTCTTGTTTGGTGTTGTCATTTTCTCAATATTCTACACAGAATGAAGAATACACATATTATACCAAGACTTGAGCATCTTCAGACAGAAAGTGAAAATAAAAATTTAATAGCAAAGTGGATCGTTTATATACCATTAATATCCTCAAATGCAGTTTATAATCAATATGAAAATCTTAGAAGTCAGTGTTTATTTTTAAAACATAACATACTATGAAATACATTATGTACAAAGCAGTAGGGTATAGTAGTCTGTGCCTCCTTTAATTTGCCTAGATTTTGGGCAAAATGTCACTTTGAGGAGTAAGGTATGCCTCAACCAAGCCATGGCATTTCCAATCACCTCATATGCATGTGAAAGTTGGACAATGAATAAAGAAGACCAGAGAGATAATTGACTTTGGTGTTGGTGAAGATTATTGAAAGTACTATGGACTGCCAGAAGAACAAATCCATCTTGGAAGAAGTATAGCCAAAAAGCTTTTTAGAAGCAAGGATGATGAGACTTGGTCTCTCACTTTGGGCATGTTGTAAGGAAAAACCAGTCCATGCAGAAGAACATCATGCTTGGTAAAGTGCAGGGTCAGCAAAGAAGAGGAAGACCCTTAAAGACATAGACAGACACAGTGACAGCAACAACAGATTCAAACAAGAAATGTGAGGATGACACAGATCCAGCAGTGTGTTGCTCTTTTGTACATAGGGTGGCTATGAATTGAAATCAACTAGACAGCACTTAACAACAACAGACTTTGGGCAGGTCTGGGCTTTATTATTTTCTTTCCTATCAAAGGGTTTAAGTTGATGATCTATAAATCCCCAGGAGTGACTCGCCCGTGGAGAAGGACATCATGCTTGGTAAAGTGGAGAGTAAGCAAAAAAGCAGAAGACCCTCTATGAGACGGATTGGTACAGTGGCAGCAGCAAGAGGCTCGAGCACAGCAACGATTGTGAGATTGGCACAGGACCAGACAGTGTTTCATTCTGTTGTACATAAGGTCGCTATGAGTTGGTACCAACTTGATGACACCTAACAACAACACATTCTATGAATAAATTTCGCAATTCAAATTAAGCTTTTGCCCTAAAAGAGTCTAACATAAAAGCTTACCCCAGGAATATGTAAATAATGGTCTTTTTTTAAAATTCCATTAATTAACACAGACAAAAATTACATCTCCCCACTAACTGGCGGAACTTAACAACTAGTTAACAAAAGTTACCATTTATATGTGATCTAGGAGCACAATGGCTCCAACCAATGACACTTGACTGTAGAACTATAAGGTGAGAGGTTAGAGCCTGCCAGCTGCTCCATAGGAGAAACAGGAGACTCCTGCACCCTCAAAGATTTTAAAGCCTCAGAAACCCTGACACAGGGTCACAATGAGTCTGAACAGACTCAAAGGCACTTTATTTACAACATAAAAAATAAAGTCAGAAAAATGGCTTAAGGGTCTAGAAATGAACAATGGACTTATTCTAAATCAATGCTACTTTATCTTTCACATCTTTTGCTAATCTTAGTAGTCTATGTAAAGGTAGAGACGGTGGAGACTTTCAAACAATGAATAATATGTAAAATAGCTACATGGGTAGTATTACAGCTACAATGGAGTCCTGGTGTGGCGCTGTGGGTTAATGAGCCAGACTACAAAGCCATTTGAACTGCAAGGTCGGCAGTTCAAGCTCACCAGCTGCTCCTCGGACACCCTATACAGGGTCGCTCTGGGTCGGAACCGACTCGACCGCACTTAACAACAACAACTGATATTATTATACATGCTACAATGAAACTGCCCCAATAGTTCTTTAACCAACTCCTTGGCATCTCTCATTAGACTCAAGTTCTTTCTTAACTTTCACACAAATACTTTCTACACATCAAATAGCATCATCACTGTAAAGACCAGTGATTTAAATGCCTATTAAGTTTGTATTTACTGTATGACTGGAATGTTGTAGCTGTTGTTGTTAAGTGCCATCTGGATAAACAAATAATGAATAAGTTCAGTCACAAAGTAAAGTATTTGCCACCTGCAAAGTAACTCTCAGATGAAACAAATATGTGGCCGTCATTACAAGCTGCAATGAATGTCCATGACATCTCAAAATGCCAATCTCTACTTTGGGTATTGCCGGACTTAAGACTGGACGCCACCAAGTGGATAAAATACGGAACTCGGTGAAGACTGGGTTCTCACCCTTGCAGAACCGACTACACAGTTTAGAGGAAGTTGAGAACAAACAAAGAACGCCGCCGCGAACAGAGTCTAGACCGGACTCTAGGTCCTGCTTGACATCTCTGACATATTAGAAAGGCCAATTGGTTAAAACAACCGATCTTGAAAAGACATGGAACATCAAAGGAGATTCAGACTGGGGAGGAGAAAGCATTTGATGATGGTGGGCTAGTCTCAAATCGGGAAAAAGCACAGGCACTTACAGCTTCTTGACCTGGCCGGCCACAGTTCAGGTTTTTTTAGCAACTCCTGCAGCTCGGCGCCACTCCCACTTCACTTCTCCGGACAGCCAGGCTGCCCCACCGACGTTGTGGTCGCAGAACAATGACGTTAGTTGTCGTCACTCGCCCTCCCTGCCTCCAGCGCTCCGCCTCTCGCTTTCTACCGCGCGCGCGCGCACTACATCCCCACGCCGTGCGCGAAAGGGCAGCTGGGCACCGCCATTTTGGCCGGTGACCGTAGGAACACGCTATTAAGACTCAGAAGTCAAGGCAAGAACTGACTTGACCTCCGCAAGGGGATCGTTTCCTCCAGGTATGTTAGCAGACCCAAGTGGTTTGGACTCTAGCTGCCGTCTCTCACCAAGAGAAGACGGTAGGGACGTTCTCCGAGAGACTTTGGTTAGGCCTCTCAGGTGGCAGCTATAGAGATAGCAGCGGCGCGTGGCAGCCGGCTCCTGCGGGACAGCTGGAACCGCCCGAGAACTAGCGCCGTTGAGTTCGTGGGGGCGCCTTGCGCTGTCCTCCAGGCGACTAAGCTCTTGGCCACTGCTGCCCGCCACTCCGCCAGGGGCTATAAGAATGGAACTAGATGTCATGTCAGCGTTGCCTTCTCCGCCCCCCCGGCCCACCCCACCCCGAGCTAGATCCTCTGGAGAGGAAGACGTGTTCAGAACTTGAGAGCATCCCAACCCTCCGCACGCTCCTCCTCACACGGTGAAATGGCTGTACTTTCACATGTGCGGGTCTGATTATGGAAAGCCGAGGCCTTTTTCGTCCACTCTTGGATGATTATGGAGTGAGTCATGGCATCTTGCCGCCATGAAGTCGAATCCTCCTTGTCCACTCCCAGTTTTTATAGAAAGGATGGCCAAACGTTGCAGGGATTTTTCTCCTAGAGACGTGTGTACCGCAGGGACTGTAATTGGAGTTATCCGACGTAGTCGCCCATTTGAATGCCTTTAGCTATTTTTGTGCGCTTTTATAGCTTTTGGCACTTTTCCCATGTGCTGACTTGCCCTTTTTTTCCTTTTTTATAACTTCGAGATCAGAGATTGTGCCATTTGTTGTGAATTAATTCCTTTGTTCCCTAAACTCTATAAGCTTATTCTTTCTTTTTTAAAATGGAAAGATGGATGTGTGAGGAACAACTGTCAAAACAGCTTTGGCTACTTTTTTTGGGCTCTACCCTGCACAGGACTGCTAACAGCTATCTGCCACCTGACTAATCCTGGTGTTAACCTAGAGATCTTATGTGCATTTGAACCAAAAGGGTTTGTGTTTTTAATTAAAAGTTTTGTTCTGTCCTATAATTTTTTAAAGAAAATACTTCATGTAATTGAGTGGAAAATAAAGAGCACAATATCATCTAGCTCCCCTTGTAAACGACTTGGATGTAAGACTTTGAAATCAGAGTTTGTACACCACTCCCACCTAATTAATGTGTTTTGTAAGACTAATAATCTGCAATGAGCGTGGCTTAAAGTATTTTCTTGTGGTTTCTAGCATTAGTTAACCTCAGTTACTAACAGCAACTTTTTAAGTGCTTTTTTTACACCGTATTATAATAGTTTTAACCTCTTCTGCAAAAATCTTTTCCATTTCTGTCTCACTTCCTTTAACTCTCAACTAGAAAATTGACAGTGAAGGTCATTGTTTATGAGTAGGTATTTTGAACAGTTTACTTAAAACCTGAAATATCTTCAAATAAATCTCTTTATTCCTGGGAATCTGTTACTATAATCTTCCCCTCCAGGCTTTTCTGTGTTGTGTCTTTCTCATTGGAAAAAAAAGAATATCACCTTCCCAGTTCCTTGAAACAGAGAAAAATGAACTAATTGTCTTTGTATAGTTAATTGACAATTCCAACGAAGAATTACTTTTCTTAAATGTATTATACTTTTATCCCTTTTTTCTATAGAAATGATTTCAAAAATTAGATAAGATGTTTTAGTAATTTGAAGAAAATGTTTAGGCAATTTCAATACCTTTTACTAAAGGATCTTCAGTTTTCTTTGAAGTTGTAATTTCCTGAATGCAACAATTCAAAAGTCATTTGGTTTCTTCCTCCTCTAATCTTTATGAGATTTGAAATTCACCAATTTTTAAAGGGTTAAACAACTTACTTGTTACTATAGTTGTGTTTATCACATGAATATTTTGGTAGGGTTTCTTGGTTTCTTTTTGTTGTTGTAATTAAGTGCTGTCCAGTTGGTTCCGACCCATAGCAACCCTGTATAGGGTTTCCAAGGAGCAGCTGGTAAACTTGAACTACGGACCTTGCAGTTCACACAACTTTACAATCTGACGCATTGGCCCACACCAGGACTTTGGGTGGTAGTATTTATTGTTTTCACTATGTAGTTGAGTGGACACCTGCCTTCCTAAAATATTGGTAACTTAGAAGATTTGTGAAGTTGTTATAACTTACAGGTAAAGTATTACATTTGTTCATTTTCTCATTCAGCAAAATTTTTGAGCTCCTACTATGCCCTAAGCACCAGTCTAGCCACTGAAATGAACAGGAAAAAGCCTGCACTAAAGATGCAATACACTCTACTTGGGCA